TATGCTCATGTTTTCCCTATAAAAAAATTTTCCCCTTAAAAGTGACCTTTTAAGTAAAAAGTATAAAATTATTCACAGTCCAAAAAAATATCAATTCTTCATTTAAAAAAACACAAACAAACAAAAGAAAAGCAAAAACAACAACACATCTGTTTTTGAAACCAAAGAAGGTATTCAAGAGACCAGAGATCCACACCTGAATTCATCATTGGAAAACATGGCCAACTATAATTTTCCTTCTTTTTTTAAACACAGGTGTTAAGAAATGACCTCATAAAAATGTAAAACTAGCTTGTCTCCAAAATAGTTCATTGGAGGCAAGTCTACCATCTAAGAATTGTTTATTAAACACAAATTGTACCCTTGGCCCTAACCTCTTCAACAACCCAAAACTCAACTCCCATAGCCTAAGAGCCAGGGAGCCAAGGCAATATATATTTAGTTTGGTCAGAAGTCAAAGGTGAAAAAATATTTTCTTCTACTGATTTGTGGCTTATGAATGAAAAACTGCAGGTGTGTGTGTGTGTGTGTGTGTGTGTGTGTGTGTGTGTGTGTAAGGGACAGAGAAAGACAGAGAAAGACAGAGACAGAGAGAGATACAGAGAGGCAGAGATAGAAACAAAGAGACAGAGAAAGGCAGAGATACCACAAAGACAGAGATAGACAGAAAGATATTGGTGTAAATCCTTAGCAAATAGATATAGTATTTTATGCAGTATATAAAGGATTTAAATGTTCATGAAAGGACTTAATATAAATTAAGAAAATGTCAACTCAGACAGTAAATGAATATACAATGTGGCTAGAAAATGACTCAGCACATGAAAGCTCTTGCTTTTCTCAAAGAGGATATGAGTTTAAGTTCTGCTCCTAGTTCCACATCAGGCTGCTTCTATTTGTCTGCAATTCCAGGGGATCAGACCCTGTTTTCTTGCTTTAGCAAGGTACTTGAAAAAAGTGTGTGTTGTGTGTGTGTGTGTGTGTGTGTGTGTGTGTGTGTGTGTGTGTGTGTGTATGTGTTTCTAATTGCTTGATTGAAAGAGCTGATGATTTTAAAGGGTCTAAAACTTGAATGATTTTAGTATTTGACCCTAAAACTAAGAAGGTTTGGGTTATTTTGTATTAATAGTTGTGTCTTTATTTGCTTTGTCTTATTTTGGATTTCTCTTGTATGCCATGATTAAACAGTAGAAGTTACACAGTGAAATAAAAACAGAAAATCACACGAAGAATGTAAAATATTCACATAGAGATTATATTTCTACTAACTAGGTAGGAGTTAAGTCCTTAGTTGGTTCAAACACTAGCTTATAAAATGGGTTATTTAAGATCTCCCATAGTCAAAATAAGCACAAAATGATTATATTTTAGAACACAAGGCACATGGTAAACACAACTACTTTGCCCAGAAAATTTCTCGCAAAACAGAAATCCATTTTGGGGATTCCCAAGAGGCCAATTGTGACCTCTATACAGGGTAGGGATCCCTGTTTTATTGAGACAAAGAATCAGAGTAAACTAAGTGGCATGCACCACATGGTTATTTATGCAGCCCCAGCCCAAGCCTGAAATGCAAGATGATGGAGGATAAATGCCTCCCTCTCCACCATGGAGGTGCTCATCACCCATAGGGACCCACTCTGGATTTAACAGCACCATCCCTATCTTGCTTCATTCCATGATGTTATTTTCAAAAATATATGTCCCTGCCCCCAAAATAAGGTTGTACTTATAAGTATGTATATTCAAGACTGTGATCCACTATTATTACATTAGGTTTTTGTATGTCCATATTGTTGCTGATGTTAGTAGGTTTAGTTTTTGAAAATATGTATTGCATCCCTGAATTTGAATGAGAGTATGCCTTTGAATTTAGTGTGGATCACTAAATTTATTTAACAGTCATTGTTAAATAAATTAGGGGGAAACTTTTTAGGAGTCTGAAATAGAGTTGATCTATACAAATATTCCATGTGTGTTTTTACTATTCTCCTAGTTGCATAAAGTAAAAGATAACATGGTTACATAGAATTTCATAGAATTGCTCTTTAAACAAATAATTGTTGGAAATCTAAATTCTAATAAAAATTCTCATTTTATGGTCAGGATATAATAAAATTTTAGTAGGTGTTTCTGACTTCAAGTTTTTTTGGGGCCTTAACAAATAGCCCAAAAAATACCCATTAAACTACTCACCACCAAGTGTGTGGAACCTGATTATATTACTTCTTTTCCTAAAATAACATTTAGTGTATGTCTACTGAGACCATTCCTTATGGGGGGGATATTCTCTCAGCCTAGATCCATGAGGGAGGGTCTCAATGCTGGATCAAATAATGTGACAGACTTTCATGATTCCCAATGGGAGGCTTCAACCTCCCTGAGGAGTAGAGTGGATGGGATGGGAAGATGGTAAGGAAAATGGAAGGAAGGGAGGAGGAGAGAACTGGGATTGGTGTGAAAAGTAAGATTGTTTTTAATTTTAATAAAAATTAATTTAAAAAGAAGGTAGGAGTTATAATTTTGGATTAACTTTTAAGAAATATAAGAAGATTCTGGGCAGTGGTGGCGCACAACTTTAATCCCAGGACTCAAGAGGAAGAGGGAGCAGGATCTCTGTGAGTTTAAGACTAGCCTGGTCTACAAGGTCTACATGAGTAAGTTCCAGCTCCAAAGCCACAGAGAAATCCTGTCTCAAGAAACAAAAACAAAACAAAACAAAACAAAACAAAAAACAAAAGAAAGAAAGAAAAAGAAATATAAGAAGACAAAGCACAAAACAAATGGTTTTTAGTGCAGAATTTCTTTTCACTATTTAGAAGTACTTTATTTTTAAAATTTTAATATAATCATATTTCTCCCTTAACTTTCTTCCCTCCAGACCTATCCATATGCACTTCCTGCTCATCTTCAAATTTATGGCCTATTTTGGCATTAATTGTTATTGCATATATACGTACATATATATTCCTAAATATAACATGTTAGGTCTGTATAATGTTAATTCTGTGTATGTTTTTTCAGGGGGCAGACCATTTGTCACTGGACAATTTTTGAAAAGAAAAAGAACTTAATAAAAAATAATATTTATAATCTTAATATATAAATTTTAATGTCTATGGAAAGAATTGTTATGGGACTGGATGAAATAATGAATAATGTAAGAGTTTTCTGTAAATGCATATTTGAATGGGCTCAGGTTTTTTTCAGTCAGTGTCAGTTAACTGGTTGTGTTTACCTTGAAGCTTTTGAGAAAAACGTTTCCCAATCCATAGATGAACTCAGAGGGATCAATGCCAGGCATCACTTATGTAATCAGGAGGCAGGAGGGTCATCGAGGACTTTTCTGACGTCCTCATAAAAGTGAATACAGAGGCCACTGAGCTACTGCAAGGAAGTAGGGTGTAAAGTCTTTATGATGACAGCATACGAAAATTATATCTGTATAATAAATTATTGTTATGAAAATCAGCACTGTCCATAACTTGATGTCAAAATAATTGTATTCACAGATATAGACTTGGAGAAAAGTTAGGGACATCTAGTTCCTCGAAACCAGGGAAGAAAGTGCAGCTGTTGGAGATGTGTTCAAAACTGTCTTCTTCCACAAATAAGGTGAACGGAGAGAATAACAGCCCCAGACAAGGCATTGACTAAGTGAACACCTTTGGGAAGTTTCAGCGAGTGATGAGACAAATCACAGTGAGTGAGGAATTATGGTCGATTGTTATGGATCACACAATTAAAGATTTATTAAATCACCTCTCAGCCTTCACTTTCTGGAATAATTTATCACTGCAAATTATTAAAACCAGATCATTAGTTTGAATAATGAAAATCTCAGGAGAAAAAAAAAAGTTCCCTCAGGTTCGTTTTTTTTAATTAAATTGAAATGTTTTCTAGCCTTGTCACATTAAACTTATTGTTTAAAGCTCATGTGAGTATAATATTAAAAGGTGACTTTATTCTCAATTCTAAAAATTAACTGAAATTCACATCAAGTAATCCAAGTGGTCCAAGTGGTATTGTAAAACATTTTTATAACAGATTCATTATTAGAGAAATTCAGATATATATTTTACATTCTTTAACTGGTATGAACGGAGTTATAGGTACTAGCTATAGGTACTACCACCATAACTGGTATATAAAGGAAGGTGCTCACATCTTCCACATGCCTGATAGGCAAGGCGGTGTGTTGAAAACAAACAAACAACAAAGCCAGAAAGAACAATAGGCATTCTGAAAGGGAAGCTCTTATCTCCCCCAGAACCTCTTATGCTGCAGAGCTGTTTGTTGGGATACTCTCCTTAGAGTAGATCTAGGACACTCTGACCCTTTGATGCCAACGAATTCTAAAATCACCTATGGTTTTAGAACTCTGGACAGGACAGTTGAGGGATCAGGGAACTGGCAGTTGGAGTCATGACAGTGGTCAACCCAAGAAGACCTCAAAGACAGGTAAATGTACATGGCATTTGAAGAAAGTGGGGCTATGGCATAAGATTCAGTCAAAACAGAGGTCTGCTTTTATTTAAATCTTAATAAAACAGCAAAAAGAAGACATTTATTGATGAGAGGATAAATCAAACAATTAACTATTTTTCTCAAATGCTTACTGTTATGATTAATGCAAGATTATTATTGACTTTTAGTATTGATAGTAAATGTTAAATAAACTAATAGCCTAGAGTATACCTGACTTACTTTTACTACACAAGCCAGTTAAATTTATTTTAAATGTTAGATAAATTACTTGCCATAAAAACACAATTTAAAAAGCCTCAAGTATAATGTGTAATCTCCATTACACAGATAGGGCTTTTCCTAAAGCAAGATACTTATTTCACTGTGAACTCAGAAACAATCTCTGTACTTCCAATCTCATTTTCACATTCACTTCCATTGCAAAGACATTGTAGCACTAAGTAGAGATATTTCTACTCATTAACACCTGCTAGCTAACTCCTGTGTGTGTGTTTGTTTATTTTGTTAGAAGAAATAAAAATAAGAGTTCATCATCAGTGTGACTTTAATCATCTAGAAGAAATAAGAGTCATCATGACTTACATGGCCCATAATCAGAAAAGCAGCAAAAAGCATTTTCAGGTGGATCCTCTTCTAATGCCCAAAGTTCCTCGAACCAATTACATGCACCTCCAGGAAGAGAAAAACAGGCTACAGCTTAAGAAATTCCTCCTTCACAGGATGTTTCTTGTGGGCCACATAAAAGCCAACATAGAGAAAAAGGAGATTTCTGAATACTATGAGCAACTGTTTCAGTCTATTCTGAAGCATCACTTAGGAGAAGCAGTTACAGGATTATTGCTCATATACTCAAGTACCTTTCTGCACATCCTTGAGACATCCAATGGCACGCTTTTCCGAATTCTTTTAGATTATGTTGCCCGTGAAAAGGAAGAAAAAGAATTTATGATCCAAAACGTGAAAATTATTGTGGCTTCTCACAACATCCCCACACGGCTCTTTATGCAGTGGCATGTTTCTGCCATCAAAGTCCCCGTCTTGTATTTAGAAGATGTGACACAGTCACAGTCTCTGGCAGAGGTCACCACGGATTTTCTCACCATGACTCACAAACTAGGACTCCACCTTTTTAAGACCGTCAAAGTTGGTGCGAAAGGGCCAGGTGACAACTTGCACCAAGTTGCCCCTGAACTCCTCCTTCCAGAACAAACTATCCAGTACTTATGTAAATCTGAAGAATTCATGGATCCAGCAACATTCTTAAACATGTATAACAGACCCATACATGTTACCCTGGATTCTGAGATTGTGTGGCCAGCTCCTTCCCGTTTCTAGGATGGGGAAGGATAATGTGTGCTTATCTCCTCAAGGTTTTGTACTTCTTTAAAAACAAAGAAATATCTATCTACAGTTACACTTTAAAAAGGGGGGGGGAAGCAGAGCATTGAAATAAGTACATAGTTGGAATAGTAACACAACATATGTAGAAACATAAGAATATATTATTCTGATCTAAAGTTCAATAATTTTTTTTCCAGGTAATTGAGGTTAATAAAATGAAGTTCCATCATTTTCATAGAACAACTTTTTTTTTTTACTTTTAATAAAAGGATAAATGAAAGAGATTAATACCATTTAGCCATTTAGATTCTCCTGCAATCTCTCAACAAGTACAAAGGTGTTTATCATGTGGTAGAAGAAAGATGTTAAGGATGCATCATTTTGAACAATTTAAACCTGAAGAAGCTTGCTACCTAAAGTTACAAGCAACATATATATATATATATATATATATATGTATATATATATATATGTAGATATAGATAGATATAGATATATAGATATAGATATCATACAATGCAAATAGTATAGTAGGAAGATGTTGAATGAACTTGGAGAACATAAGTGAATAAACTACTAATACACAATCCTTGCATCAAAGAAAATAAAACCTAACCTTTGAAAATAATCCTAAAGCACCTATATTCTGACCTATATAATCAGTAATACTGGAGCTATTATAAAGCTGGAAGACACAAGAGTTTTCAAAACAACTAGAAAACACTATCAAATTTCAATATCATTCCTTATGAAATATTGACCGAATAAGAAACTTCTCTTTGTGACAGACATTTTTGCAATGTTCACACAAGGCATTGTTCTTGCCATACTAAAAACCTACTAATTATATGTAAGCAACATTATAGAGCATGAGTAATCTATGTTGTTGTGTAAGCAATATTATAGGATATAAGTAATTTATGTTGTTATATCAGATGGCATCTTATTGACAAGGTAAATATGTTTGAAAAAAAGGTATTTGTTTTCTAAAGTTAGACAGTGAATATAAGTACAGCATATGATTAGAGATTAAACATTAAATTAAATGTAAACATTTAATTAAACATAAATTTGTACCACATAACATACAAAAGTATGGAATGCATCAAATCCTACATGCTCCTCCTACAGTGTGACCTTCAGATTCCTCCCATTTTTATGACAGGTTTTATGTCTAAAAATCGGGCAGGCTTTGTACCTGCTTTAACAACAGAGCATGACAGCGATGATGCCATGCAACCTCTTAGGCAAGGTCAAAATTCCAAGTGCCTTCCTTTGCTCTTTGTACCCAAACTCTTAGAACCCAGAAACTATGATGTGAATACTTAAAATATCCAAATGACATTCTCAGCAAGGGACCAGCTGACAGCCATGATCAAGTACTAGATGCTGAGTAAGACTTGGTGGTTCCTGAGTCTCTGCTTCCAGGATTACAGGAAAGAACAGTTGACACTGCATGGAATAGAGAAGGACTCTTCCTAGGAATCCTGCTCAAATCATAGACCTGAGAAGATTGTGCATTTGTCTGAACTATAACATGTGTGCAAGAATACACATGTAAATGACTTTTATCAGCTACTGTTCATTCATTTAGGAAATTAATAAATGAGTGCAAATAAACACTGACTAGGCATCATTGTTTTTGGCTGGATACCCCCATAGTGGTAAGATGTGTCTTTACCATATTGCTTACCCTATGTCACTTATCACTCTATATTATTTCCTGATAGAAAGCTAATTTATTATACTAATGAAAATCATTAGCAAACACAATCAGTTTCTAGAGTAAGTTATAGATTTATCTAAATAATAATAATGCTCATTTAATTAGCTTGCTATAAATTTTAAAGATTCATGAAATCAGAATATATTGGGTGAAAACAAAATCTTTTCAATAAAGGAAAAAACACAAATATATAACTCAATTATGCATTCATTATAGAAAGCAGACTATAATGAATTTATTCAAATGAAATTCACTTATGACAGTAGTCACTTTATTATTGTCATACCAACAACAACATCATCACTAAAACATTTTGTGACTCATTTATGTCAGATGAATAAAGAAAGTTTATAGCCAAAGTAAGTATAAACATTTCAGGTATATCTAATTTTTGATCACCATAGAATATAGACACAATTGGTCCTATTCAGAAAGTTCTTTACCCACCTATAACTTCAAGTGTGTTTCATAATATCTCCTCTGTAAGATTCAGGGTATCAGGGCTTACATTTACATTAATCCATTTTAAGTTGTGTTTTATGCAGGGTAAGAGATAAACTTCCAGTTTCATTCTTCTGTATGTGGCTACCCAGCTTGACCTGCAATATTTGTTGAAGATTCTTCTCTTTCTCTAATGTGTATTTTAGAACTACTCGTCAAAAATAATGTCAGTGTAGGAGTGTGGACTTACATGTAGTTTCTGCATTCTATTCCATTTATCAAAATTTTTGTTTATTTTTATTGCTCTGTAGAAGGAGTCAATGAAACAATAATATTCAAAATTGCATCGAAAAAAGGCTTGTAATAAAATGTCATGCAATTAAAATGTTAAACACTGAAGAAATTGAAGATAGTACTAGAAGGTGGAAGGACCTCCTAATGTTTATGGATTGATAGGATTAATAATGTGAAATGGGTATCCTACATAAAACAAGTTATCTATTCAATGCAGTACCCTCTCAACTTCCAAAGAAGCTCTTTAAAGACATGGAAGAATATCTCTAATATGAAAACAAATCAGACCCAAGATATCCAAAGAAACTCCTAATAATTAAACATTGCTATAGGTATCACCATGCTTGCTTTGGGTATATAATAAGACTATTGATTTTTGTGTTTTAATTTTATAAACTGTTACTTACTGAATGTTTTTTTTAATCAGTTCTAATAGTTTTCTGTGAATCTTTTTCTTCCTTTTGTGTGTGTGTGTGTGTGTGTGTGTGTGTGTGTGTGTTTGGTTTTTTTGTTGTTGTTTCTTTGTTTTGTTTTTGTTTTGTTTTTTTGTTTTTTTTGCTTGTGCTTTCATTTTTCCATACAGGGTTTCTCTGTATCGTTTGGAGCCTGTCCTGGAACTAGCTCTGTAGACCAGGCTGGCCTTGAACTCACAGAGATCTGCTTGCCTCTGCCTCTGCCTCTGCCTGTGCCTCCCCAGTGCTGGGATTAAAGGCATGTGCCACCAACACCTGGCTATAGAGACTTTTATTTACAGAATCCTATCATCTATAAACAAGGAAATTTTGACTTCCTCTTTTCTTAGTTATCTTCCTTTTACTGTCTCTAGTTTTGCTACTCCAATATGGCAAGAGATTTTATTATAGAGAAGAGAGTGGAGATATCCTGCATCCAAGAACATGATCATGTGACTTCTATCCTTGAGTATGTTTGTATATGGTGATTATCCTAATTGATTTACATATGTTAAAACATCTTTGAATATCTGGAGTAAATCAAACTCAATCATGGTGAATAATCATTTACATATTTTAATTCAGTTTTCAAGTATTTTAAGAAATTCACACCTATAGTAACCAGAGAAATTCCTTATAATACTTTCTATCTATTGTTTACTGTTTATTTTGTTTGGATATTGGGAAGATGTTGGTTTTGTGTTCCTTTGCTATTTTATGGAATAATTTAAAGAGTATCAGTGCTTTGAAAATCTGGTAGCATTCTGTCCGGAATCCATCTGGTACTGTATTTTTTAAATTAGGAAATGTTTACTTAGTACTTCTATATCATTGGATTTCACACTTCAATTTAAAGTGTTTATTTCATTTGGATTTACCTCCAGAAGCCATGTACATCCAGAAGTTCAACTATTTATTATTTATTTTTCCAGTTGAGTGAAATAAAATATTTAAATTATATCTTTATTATTTTCTGGATTTCCTCAGTGACTACTGTTTCTTCTTTGACCTTTGATTCTCATCTTGATACTTCTTTTCTTTGGTTAGTTTGGTTAAAGGTATATCAAACTTGTTAATCTTTACGGAGAATTAAGTCTTTGTTTCATTGACTTTATGTTTATTGATGCTCATTAATTTCAATAATGAATTTTATTGTCTCTTCATCTTTACTGTTGGTGATTTTGTTTCTGTTTCTACAAAGTCTTCAAGCACATCATTAATTTATTAACTTGAGACCTCTAAATTTTTTTGAATATAAGAAAGTTTATTTTGGCTTACTATTCTAGAGATAATGATTATAATATTAGGGGAGACTTGGCAGAAGGGAGCCAGAGCAGGAGGCTGAGAGATCACATCTTCAACCATGAAGAAGAAAATGAACTAGAGATGAGCTAATACCATAAACATTCCTGAACTGTTTTTCATGTTAGGCACTATCTACAATAAGGTTTATTCATAGAATTCCCTTTGTGTCACATACATTTTGTTATGTTGTGCTTTTATTTTAACTTAATTTAAAGAATTTTTTAATTTTCCCTGATTTGTTCCTTGACATAGTTATTATTCAGAAATATAATGTTTCATCTACATGAGGTTTTGAATTTTCTATAATTTCTAGTGAGGTTTACAGCTAACATTTTATCCCCATGTAGTCTGATAGAACATAGGATGTTATTTCAATGTTCCTATATTTGTTGAGACTCTCTTTGTATCATATATGTGGTTGACTTGAAAGACATTTCCAGGGACCACTGGGGAAAATATGTATTCTTCAATGCTTGTCAATAATGTTCTTTAGATGTAAGTGATTGTTGCATCTATTGAAACCATGATGTTTATTGGCAATGATTCTCAGTTTTGATTTTGTCCAGATAATCTATTCATGAGAACAGCAAATTGCAACCACCATATAGGAATTAATCTATGATTTTAGATTTAGCAATGTGTTGTTATTGTTGTTTTAATGAAATTAGGTGCTCTTGATGATGAGTATAAGTTTAAAAATTTAGTATCCTTTTGGTGAATTATTCCTTTAATATGAAGTAAACTCCCTTATCTGTTCTCTCCAGTTATGTATGTAAGTCTGTTTTCTCTGACATTACAATAAATATGCCTT